GCCCAAACGCTATTGCAAGCTTCTCACTGTGATGTCCAAGCGCCTGCTCTTTCTCTTCATCTTCAATGTCATAGAACACCTCAGTGATCTCTGTGACATGACCTTGCTGTTGCATCCTTCCACCAATCTCAATCAGTTTTGCATGAATGTCATCATATGATGGATGTGACTTGTCACCTGAAATGAATTCATGGATGGAACCATCCATCTCAACCGAGCTGCAACCAGGAATCTTCTCGATCCCCTTGCTTCTCATGGTCCTCCGAACATCTTCAACGCCATTCCATCTCCCTACTGCAGCATAGAGATTGGACAGGAGCACATGGTCTCCACTGCAGGTTGCTGCCATTTCAGTTATGACAATTTCAGCCATCTTGACATTCTTGTGGAGCCGGCATCCACCAAGCAATGCCCTCCAGATGACAACATCTGGCTTCATTGGCATCTCTGTAATGAGCTTGTGTGCCTCTTGTAGATGACCAGATCGGGCAAGGAGATCAACCATGCACGCATAGTGCTCAAGGATTAACCCTATGCCATACTTCTTGGAGATCATGTTGAAATGCTCCCTACCTGCATCCACAGATCCACCATGGCTGCATGCCAAGAGGACTCCTACAAAGGTCACTTCATCCGGTACCACTCTTCCGTCAAGCTCCATTTGGCGAAACATGTCCAACGCCATTGCTGAGTAGCCATTCATGGCCAAGCCATTGATCATGGCATTCCAGGTACATGTGTTCCTCGCCCTCAAGCTCGCGAACACCTCCAACGCAAGCTCCACAGCGCCACACTTGGCATACATGTCAATAAGCGCCGTCCCCAGGAACTCGTCCCACCGGAGCCTGTTCTTCTCTATGAACACATGGACCCACTTCCCTGTCTCCAACGCACCGGCGCTCGCGCAGGCTGACAGCGCGCTGACAACAGTCCCACGGTTTGGCACGAACCCTTCCTTCATCATCCGCCCAAAGAGACAGAGAGCCTCGACGGGCTGCCTGTTCCCGACGTGCCCAGAGATCATGGCGTTCCACGAAACCAGGTCCCTCTCCGGCATCTTGTCGAAGACGCGCCTCGCCGACCCGACATCCCCGGCGCGGCAGAGGCCGGCGACCATCGACGTCCACGTGACGGGCGTCGGCGCCGGGACCTGCTCAAAGAGCCGGCACGCCGATGCGACGTCGCCGGACACCGCGTAGCCGTGGATCATGGAGTTGAAGGAGACGGTGTCCTGGCGCGGCATTTCGGCGAACACCCTGCGCGCGTCGGTGACTCGCCTCGTGGCGCAGTACCCCTGGATGAAGCCATTGGTGACGCGCGTGTGGGCGAGGAACCCGAGCTTGATGTAGACGGCGTGGAGGCTGGGGAGGCGGCGAGAGGAGACGGAGGCGGCGGCTTTGAGGAGGGAGAGGAAGGTGTGCTGGTTCAGGCGGGACAGCTGCATGCGTACGCGTTTGCTATTGGCTTGTACAGTACTAGTTCATGGTGTGTGTGTGAGAGAGGCCTTGAGCTTTTATGGCTGGCTTGTTTGGAAAAGGAAATTTAGAAAATGCAAGAACATGAAACTAAGTGGATTATGTTTCAAGTACTCCTGCTTTATTGATGCAATATGATATGGGGCAATGATAGGCGCCGGTTGACCGGCCCAAACCGCGCAGCCGTCCGATTTCCCTATTTACAGCTGTTAGATTTGACGCTTTCCCTCGAGTCATCGTCTTCCTTGCATTGCCTGAGAGAGAAAAAGGGGGGACATCCCCACGTGCGCTCCCCACGCGCATAGCTCTGCCCGCCGCACGTCACTCGCCAGAGCTCCACCGGTCGCCGCCTCGCTTCGAAGCCCGAATTCGCCACCGTCGCACGCCTTCTCGTCTTGTCGTCGTTCCAGCACCGCCCTTCCCCGGATGCAGCTCTGCCCAACACCGGTTCCAGCAACTCGCAGTGATGATCATAGCACGGCGCCGCTGTCTTTGGCTCGCCGCTGTCGCTGACCTGCACCATCATGTTCCAGCGAAAAAACATATCTCAGCTGAAAAAAGCTCTGGTGTTCAGTTGCAGCAAAACCAAAAACTGGTTCCAGCAGAAAAAAATGTGGTTCCAGCAAAACGACCTGAGAAACTGCGAAACCAGTAAAATGGGTTGAAGCAAAAATTTATTCCGATTCCAGCAAAAAATTATCCTGATTCCAGCAAAAATTTACTTTGGTTCCAACAAAACGATCTGAGTAACTGGAAACTCCGGTAATCATTTGAAGCAAAAATTTATCTAGTTCCAGCAAAAATTAAGTACAGTTCCAGCAAAAATGAACTCAACAACTAGAAATCCGATAATAGTTTGAAGCAAAATTTACATCGGTTCTAGCAAAAAAGAACTTAAGTTCCAGCAAAAAACAGATCAGCAAAACAACCCAGCTTGCAGCTCCCCAAAAACTCCGGTCACTGCTCCGGCACCAACGGATGCAGCTCTGCCGTTGAAAAGGTGCGGCTGATTCCAGCTTCCTATTCCCGGTTGCTTCTTGCCGCCGGCGGTCGCCGTTGGATGCATCCCTCCTAGCCGTTGGATGCACCTCCAAACTGAACGGTTGCAGCTCCGGCGACGCTTGATGCAGCTCCGGCGACGGCTAGGAGGGATGCATCCAACGGCGACCGCCGGCGGCAAGAAGCAACCGGGAATAGGAAGCTGGAATCAGCCGCACCCTTTCAACGGCAGAGCTGCATCCGTTGGTGCCGGAGCAGTGACCGAAGTTTTTGGGGAGCTGCAAGCTGGGTTGTTTTGCTGATCTGTTTTTTGCTGGAACTCAAGTTCTTTTTTGCTAGAACCGATGTAAATTTTGCTTCAAACTATTATCGGATTTCTAGTTGTTGAGTTCATTTTTGCTGGAACTGTACTTAATTTTTGCTGGAACTAGATAAATTTTTGCTTCAAATGATTACCGAAGTTTCCAGTTACTCAGATCGTTTTGTTGGAACCAAAGTAAATTTTTGCTGGAATCAGGATAATTTTTTGCTGGAATCGGAATAAATTTTTGCTTCAACCGATTTTACTGGTTTCGCAGTTTCTCAGGTCGTTTTGCTGGAACCACATTTTTTTCTGCTGGAACCAGTTTTTGGTTTTGCTGCAACTGAACACCAGAGCTTTTTTCAGCTGAGATATGTTTTTTCGCTGGAACATGATGGTGCAGGTCAGCGACAGCGGCGAGCCAGAGACAGCGGCGCCGTGCTATGATCATCACTGCGAGTTGCTGGAACCGGTGTTGGGCAGAGCTGCATCCGGGGAAGGGCGGTGCTGGAACGACGGCAAGACGAGAAGGCGTGCGACGGTGGCGAATTCGGGCTTCGAAGCGAGGCGGCGACCGGTGGAGCTCTGGCGAGTGACGTGCGGCGGGCAGGGCTATGCGCGTGGGGAGCGCACGTGGGGATGTCCCCCCTTTTTCTCTCTCAGGCAATGCAGGGAAGACGATGACTCGAGGGAAAGCGTCAAATCTAACAGCTGTAAATAGGGAAATCGGACGGCTGCGCGGTGACCGGCCCAAATTTGGGCCGGTCGACCGGCGCCTATCATTGCCCCTAATAATAACATATATTTTACAAAAGAATAAGTCTTGAGATTAGTGTAATGAAATTTCTTAAAATTACTATCATGAAGTTTTTGTGTTTTTAGTAAAGAAAAACAACAAGAAATATAACGAAATTCTCTCAATATTTTTACATAATTTCCCAGGAGTCAGTATAGTAATTTTTTTTATTTCCCTGGAAAGACATAGATTGTGGAATTTGTACCATGACTTTTCCAAGAATTAAAATCATATAACTGAAATCCACCATTTACTTCTATTTTCTCATAATGAGATTCTCAGTTTTTATAGAAGACAGATAATTTCACAGAACTTTTTTCCACATTTCCTAAATCTTGGAAATGATTTAAATCCATTAAACATATTTTTCAAAAGTTGAAATGATTCTTAAAAACTTGGTAAAAACATAATTGTTTTAAAAATTCTTATTAATTATTCACTAGTCAGACAATCTGAATATTATTAGATGTGTTGTAAACGTGAGGCTCAACAAAATCTGCATGCACGTTGGGCCACTGTCACATGTCATTCAAGCCACCCACAATAACGCATTTATTATCCTCAGAGATCATTAAGAGTGTTCAGAAGGATACAACCATATACTTCTCTTAAAGAAAGATATTCATCGTCCTAAACTAAAGAATACACCCAAACTAATATAACGACACGAATCCCTATGCTTCTTTAATGGTGAGATATTATAGAGGTGAGTCGCCGAGTGCTCCTATGCATTTTCGTTCTCTTCCTTCTTTGTCTCTCAAATAAGGCCACCTTTAACACGACTCTTAAAACCAACACTTGTCCGCCGACTGATCCGCGGATGTAGATACAAAATTCGACCATCCAACCATATACCCTAAAGGTTTGTCCCTGTTTTTTTAAGTCCACAACACTGAAAATAATTACAGAAAATAGCACAATCCATCTATAAATAACTTGCAAATATTTCTAGTACAACAATACTTCAGTTAGAATCGTCACAAGACATAACCAAATATTCAATAAGTTTTTTGAAGTCATCGATTTCAAATTCAACAAATACTCCAATTAGAATCGTCACGAGTTCTCCCACACATTGTTGCCCTTGAGTTTTATCCAACAATACAAATGTAAATGGCCCCCCTTTGTCACGCGCTAACATTGAGCGAGTGAATCAATGAATTGACCAGAACGCTGGGGAAGTGAGGGTTGACCTCAGTTTTAGGTTCAACCCCAAGAGCTAAATCCGCACCGGCGGGAGAAACCATATTTTGAGCATAAGTGTCGCCATTATTATTTCTTTCCCAAAAAGATATACTATTAGAAACTATAGCACGGTGTAGTAATAATTGCTAATAAACAAATTTTGCTCCAGTTGACATGCTAATAAACCGGAAATCATCCATCCACACACGATGTGCAATCCCGCACGACCATTGCTGTGAGCAGCTCAGACGACGGCCTTGAGCTTCTTGGCGATGCCGGCGAAGTACTTCCCCTGGTGCGCCGCCAAGGCGAGCTCGGCGTCGGTGGGCGTCCTACTGCCATCGGCGCCGGCGAAGGTGCCAGCCCCGTACGGGCTGCCGCCCTTGACCTCGTCCATGGCGAACATGCCGGCGCCGTGCGTGTAGCCGACGGGCACGAAGATCATGCCGTGGTGCGTCAGCTGCGTCACGGCCGTGAGGGCCGTGGTCTCCTGACCGCCGCCCTGCGTGCCCGTGGCGAAGAAGACGCCAGCGGGCTTGCCGGCGAGGGCCCCCTCCTGCCAGAGGCCGCCGGTGGAGTCAAAGAAGGCCTTCATCTGCGCCGCCATCATGCCGAACCGCGTCGGGAAGCCGAACAGGACGCCGTCGGCCTCGGCCAGCTGCCGCGCCGTTATGACGGGGTGGTCCTCGCGCCCCGGCGCCGCGTGCATCTTCCCCAGCACCTCCTCCGGTAGCGTTTCCGGCACCCGCCAGACGGTGACCTCGACGCCGGGCACGGAGTCGGCGCCTTTCTTGATCTCCTCCGCCAGCGTGGCGACGTGCCCCCATGTCGAATAGTACCTGAATGATAAACGAAAAATGGAATAACAATCAAATCATTGAGCTAACCAGCCGGAAGAAGAGAAGAGCGGAGCAGAGGGCGGAGCATTACACGATGTAGATCTTGGTCGCCATTGCCGATCGGTGTAGAATTCTGCTGTGCACGTAGAACTGATTTGCTTTGGAAATTGCTTTGCTTCCTCTTGCGGTATGGGTGGCTGGTGAAGGAAGAAGGCGGGCAGGCTCCCGTATTTGTAGGGGAAGCTGGAGCCTTGTAGATTTTCCGATTGTTAATTTGGCGTACTTGCGGTCGCATTCTTGCAGATTATTTAAAAGGGTTCTTGGAAAAAGATGCTGATCCGATCATCGCCAGGGGCTGCTATGAGTCTTGTCACCTTGTGTAGTGGGTATAAAAAAGTGTGGCCGGACTCTGATGAACGTGGCGTGGGGTATACTACGTGGTCATGGCGTCGACACTGACGTGCTACGTATGTAGATATGTATCGCCATAGTGGATGCTTTTCTCGCGGAAGAACGGCGATGGAGTCAGCGAGGAAGCTTCCTGCAGGTCTGAAAGAAAAAGAATAGGCAGATATAGAATCGAAAATACACGTTGGGACATGGTGCATGCCAGACAAGGATTATATGCATTTTCATAGTATTATAACTAACTTCAAACCCCTCAGATAGTTTTAGGAGTTGTGGGGGTAATTTTACTTATTTGCAGTCCTATAAACCTCCACCTGTGCAATGCCCGTTAACTCTATAAATGATCCTCCATCCGTGTAGCATCTCTCTTTTGCTAATCGCTATGGGTGTGGCCAGTTCTCAGTTGACTGAGACTTACGAAGTCTCAATCAAATGACAAAAGTTATAAAATAAGAAGAAGAAAATTAAAAGAAAATTTACACGGATCTTCACATAAAATCTCAAGAATATAGCATTGATTAAGACTTCGTTAAGTCTCAGTCCACTGACTTATAGCAATCCTGAATCGCTATTAAGGAGAAAATTGTTAGGGTCTCGTCCCCCCTGAATCGTCCCTACAAGGTGAGGTCGTGGGTATCGATTCCCTTGCCGCTGAACGAGGAGAACAAACACGGGGAGTCCCGATCCAGGTCTCGGCAGCTTAATGCTCGTGCTCGCCGTGAGGGTGTCCCTCCGCCCCAGCAACACCATCCAATTCAGGGCCACGAGTTGCATGCAACCATGCCCTTTCGTTATCATGATCACAATCAGCTTATTCGTGCTCCCGAAGCCTTGGAGTACACAATTGTACACAAGAGAAACATAGTGTTAATATTTACTAGGTTAACAACATCACGTGCAGCGAGGAGCAATATGTTGGCGCAAGAAATGGTGTGTTGCAGGAGGCCTCGACTTGGACCTTGATGTCGCCGAGCAAGATCGATGCGTCACGGCCCTATCAATGGACACACATGTCAATGATAGAAGCTAGAACGAGAAACATTGCTGACCGTGTGCACCGCGATGCAACTTACAATGATGGTCTTGATGAAACAGTT